CATTATATGAAGCGACTTATGCAGCTGCAAATTGAAAGACGTTTAGGTTTTATACGGCAAAATGGGTCTACGCAAATATGGCAGGTAAACGAAGTCCTTGTTTGTTTCGTTTTGATTATTATTCATATATAGTTTGATAACGGTCCTTAACAGCCAGTGGCTAACAAACGTATGGCCATCATTCCATGATCAATTTGCATTTACATTTGACGAACAGTAAATCGCATATAACCAAAGCAAGTAATTCCGATCCAGGAATGTCGTTTTACTTCCGTACCATCACCTTGTCGTGTTTTTTAATCAATTTTGTCACAATCACCCGGAATCTGTCCTACTTGTTTTCGCTTGTTTTCGCTTTCATCTTGCTACAACGTAACTGATATTTTGATAATCAACAGTACTGACGTTTCGGATGTTAGTCCTTCGTCAAACTCGAGTAAAAAGAGCTTTAAAAAGAAACGGTTGTTTTTCATTACGGATTAATTGGGATAATGAAATCGTTTCCTCTTTGTGTGAGGATATGATTTAAGCTTTTTTTAAATCCCTGATAAACTACGCAAGCGTTTCGCGTTTCACTTTCGATTATTTGTTCGAAACAATCAAGGAAAAATTATGATTCATCTACGACTTCATCTACAAAATAATATTAGACGTTGATATTTAACATCTATGAAAAGTTTCTTTTTCTATTTCTTTTGCTCCCTGGTATAGCTATTTTAAAGCCTTATTCACAAGATGCAAATAATGCATGACTGTAGCTTGATAACTGTGTATCGTATAATTAGAGGTTTCGAGAAAAATCCCGTTTTTTATTGTGTTTGTCATATAAATGAGTTCAAACCATTTTGCCCTGTGACGGCCGTGGTTTGCTGTTTCAGTATTAAACTATCTTTTTCAGTGCAACATTGGTTTCTCAAAACAATTTTTCTGGCTGTCACAGGCAACAGTTGATTCAAGCTACACTATAAAGAATAGCTAGGACGAAGCAAAAAGTTAGAAAGCAATT